AAACTGAAAACAACCTAGATGTCCTTCAACAGAATAATGGATAAAGAAAATGTGGTACATTTGTACAATGGAGTATTACTCAGCTGTAAAAAAACAAGACATCATGAAATTTGTAGGAAAATGGATGAAACTAGAAAAACAATCATCCTGAATGAGGTAACCCAGACCCAGAAAGACAAACATGGTATATACTCATTTATAAGTGGATATTAGCTGTTAAGTAAAAGATAATCATGCTACAATCCACAGCCCCAGAGAGGCTAAGTAACAAGGACTCAACGGGAAGTGCTGTGGGATGGTCTGTATGTCAAATTGCTCTGATTGGTCAATAAATAAAACAATGATTGGCCAGTGGCCAGACAGGAAGTATAGGCGGGACAAGGAGAGAGGAGAATTCTGGGAAGTGGAAGGCTGAGTGAGGGGGACACTGCCAGCCGCAGCCATGACAAGCAGCATGTGAAGATGCCGGTAAGCCACGAGCCACGTGGCAAGGTATAGATTTATAGAAATGGATTAATTTAAGATATAAGAACAGTTAACAAGAAGCCTGCCACGGCCATACAATTTGTAAACAATATAAGTCTCTGTGTTTACTTGGTTGGGTCTGAGCGGCTGTGGGACTGGCAGGTGACAGAGATTTGTCCTGACTGTGGGAAAGGCAGGAAAACTCCAGCCACAAATGGTGCCCAACGTGTTGACAAGAGTTTCCACCTAAAACCTGAGTAAAAAGATTCTAAAACAAACTAAAAACAGTTCCTAGTTGTTTCTCTCAAGTTAGCGGCAGCCTGCGTGTTTGAGCTACTATGGCACGTTCCTGGTGTGTGTGCTCGACCTGCAGTATGGCAGGAATGAGGCCTCTGCAAGTGGCACATTAAGCTGTGTGGTGGATTTAGCCTTTGCTAGTGCAAAACAAAAAAAGAGGTTTCTGGGCTACACGATGCTTTGATAGAAACATAGACCCACTATTTCTGAGAGTTGATGGCTCCCAGAGCTGGTGGAAAACGTACCACCGCCATGTTGGGAAGCTGAGGTGGGCGGAGCCAGCAGCCATAGCACCGTTTCAGTCTTACAAATGCTGGAAAACTCTAGCTACAGTTTAGGCGGACCACTTGGATTTCCCTGTGAAAGGGAGATAGTGTTGTGGAATATTTAACTATGTAAAGATGTGTGGCATTTGTTTATGCTGTAGAATATTACTGTAATTGTGTAAAGGTGTGTTACATTTGTTTCTGCTGCATTTGTTTAACGATGATGTAAGGATGTGTTGCTGTTGCACCTTGCCTGCACTTGATTGGTCTGATAAAGAGATGAATGGCCAGTAGCCAAGCAGGAGAGGGAAAGGCAGGGCTGGTGGGCAGAGAGAATAAATAGGAGGAATCTTGAGAGGAAGGAAGAGAAGAAGGAGGAGAGAAGGAGTAGAGAACTAGGAGAAAGACAAGGACATGCCCAGGGCCAGAAGCCAGGCACCTGCCAGACAGACAGACAGACATAGAGACAGCGGGAAAAGTAGGACATACAGAAGGAAAATGTAAAAAGCACCAAGGCAAAAGGTAGATAAAGAGAAACAGGTTAATTTAAGTTAAAAGAGCTAGCCAGAAATGAGCCTAAGCTAAGCTGAGCATTCAAAACTAATAAGAAGTCTCCATGTCTTGATTTGGGAGCTGGGTGGTAGACCCAAAAGAAAAAGGCTGCTGCAAGATAGAATAGATTTTGAAGATGGACTGGGTTCGGGTGGGTATGGGAACTGGAGGGATCAATCAGGTGTAGGATTTGGAGGGAGTGGAGATTGGGGGAGAAGATTGGAATTTGGGGGTGATGTGGAAACCTACTCTAGTAGAAACTCCCTGGAGTCTATGAGGGTGACCTTAGAGAAGATGCCTTGGGGAATACAGTGCCTGAACTGTCCATCTTCTGTAACTAGTCAAGGCTTCCAGTCGTGGGACTGGAACCCCAGCTCAACCACAAAACATTCAACCTACAATTTGTCCTGCCTGTGCTAGAGTGTTGGTGGAGCAGAACAGGTGACCAGACAGTGACTGGTCCACTTGAGGCCCATGCCTGACACTGCCTGGATGGCCAAGAACCAGAGGTTGGATGGCCCAAAGACCTAGGGTAGAACCAAACATGAATTGGCAAAAAAGTCAATGAAATGAATCCTAATGATATTCTGCTATGCTCATAGATTGGTTCCCAGCCCATTCATCATCAGAGAGGCTCCTCCAGTGACTGATTGTAACAGATGCAGAATCCCACACCCAAAAATTAGGCCGAGTTCAAGGAACCCTGCAGAAAGGGGGTGAAAGGATATAGGAGCCAGAGGGTTCAAGGACACTAGAAAAACATGCTTGACTTAGTTAGGGTTTCTATTGCTGTGAAGTGACACCATGACCATGGCTACTCTTCTAAAGAAAACATTAAATTGACGTGGCTTACTTAACAGTTTCAGAGGTTCAGTCCATTATCATCATGACTAGGAACGTGGGGGCCATAGAGGCAGATGAGGTGCTGGAGCTGAGAGCGTTGTATCTTAGCATAGGAGCCCTCAAAGTCTGCTCCCACAGTGACACACTTCCTCCAACAAGTCCATACCCACTTTCTAATAGTGCCACTCCCTATGAAATTATGGGAGCCAGTTACATTCAAACTACCACAATTGGCAATAGAACCAACATAGCAGGCCTCATAGTGGCTCAAGAGATTGAAGTGACACTCAAGGAGCCAGCATGGGTCTGCACTAGATCCTCCCCATACATTCTGTGGTTCTTTTTGTGAGACTCCTAACAGTGGGAGTAGGTGTGTCTATGACTCCTTTGCCTGCTCTTGGGACCCTTTTCCTCCTTCTGGGTTGCTTCCTCCAGCCTTGATATGAGGGTTTGTGCCTAGTCTTATTGTATCTTGTTAAGCCATATTAGGTTGATCTCCTTGGGGTGCCTGCTCTTTTCTGAAGTGAAGTAGAGGACAAGAGGATCTGGGGGAGGCAGGAGGTGGGGCAGACAGGGATGAGTGGATGGAGAGAAAATTGTGAGCGGGATGTAAGGTATGTGAGACGTATATACAAAAGTACAATTCACTAGTGGTGCTGTTCTAGGGACGTAAATAGGGTCACATGGGTCACAATGAAACGTATGATAATTCAGGTGGAGTGGCCAGTGTGGTGAGAACTTTTTCAGCTGAGGACTCAGAGGCTTTCAAATAGAGGATTGGGGAATTGGTGAGTTGAGATGTGGTTGTGGCTTGTTTTTTTTTTGTCTCTCTGAATTTTCAGTATTTACACCACTATCTGGATCCAGGTTTTTTATTTTAAGACCTTTAGAAATTCAAACAACAGGCCAGGTCTGTGGTTTGAATGTGAAGCAGGCTACAGCCACTCTGCTTGCCTTTCTCCTGCCCACCTCCTTCACAAGGGCTCCACATGAGGTACAATGAAGACCACAGCACTGGAAGGTTTCCAACTTTCTTCCAATTCCATACACTGCTTTTCTGAACTAAAGAAGATTATGCCCATGTCTTTATAAGAATAGAGAGAATTTAATCATTTTTAAAACATTACATTTTTGTGAATTGCAAATATAGATCCATTTGTGCCACACTGACCTGTCTAGTGAAACAAGAGAATGAGGGTGAAGAAGGAGTCTACTGTGTACCTGATAGAAATCAGGATCTACGAATGTTGGTTGATGATGTCAAAAAGATACTTCCAGCCTAGCATCCCTTGGATCCCTCTGGTTCATAAACTGCTATAATTCATGTTGCCAGCAGGGGGAAGCAGGGTTTCCAAGCTGAGCCAGGGCTGTTGAGTGACTGGAGGTCATGGCTGAGCCTCTCCTTGGAAGACTTGGGTTGGAACAGGGCTGAGCTTGGCCTAGGTGGGAAGGGTGATCATCAGGTGACTGGCAGGCTAAGTCTAACTGGACTAAGAGGTAGAGGAGATTCCAAGTGTTTGGAACTTATAAATGAGTAAAAGGCTGGTTTAAATCAGGGCTGAGGAGGTGGGGCTGGCACAGGTGGCTGGAGGAAGTCATGTGGAAAACACTGGAAGGCCAGCAAGGGGGACAGAAGTTGCCTGAGATCTGTGCTGGGTGGGGAAACGGCACCCAGGTGAGCCTGGGGCCACCAGAGGGATGTCTCAGCCTTCCAGACTGCAGACAGTTCAGGTGGTGAGAGTCACCTGACCTGCTAGAGAGATGAGAGGTCCTGAAAATAGGAAACTGATTCCCAAGGCCTTCTAAATTCCCAGAGTCCAATCTCCCTTCACCCCAATGCCTTGTTCAATTATCTTGATGAAGGTGGTTTAGAAATGGTAGCTTTCCTGGTCCTGAGGAGGTTCTTTTGTGGAGGGCTAAGTATGAAAAGGAATGACTGAGTATAGACTCCTGATTGTGTTGCAAGAAAACCAACCTTGAAGAGCTGGGTCTTAAATTATGCATGTAGTTGGATATCGTGGCACACCCCTTTAATCTCATCCCTTGGGAAGCATATGCAGCAGATCTCTGTAAAGTTCAGGCCAGCCAGAGCTGTATAGTGAGATCCTACCTCAAAAGTAAAAACAGCTCTCTCCGTATTCTCTCTGTACTTTCCTGCTGCTAGGTCTCTCTGTCTCTCTTTCTCTGTCTCTCTGTCTCTGTCTCTGTTTCTCTCTGTCCTTCTCTCTCCTAATAAAGCTCTAAAAAGGTAAAAATAAATAAATAAATAAACAAATAAATAAATAAATAAATAAAAAACAACCCGCCAAGTCCACCATGTATGGGGTGATGAATATGTGGAATTGTCTAGCCTGAAGTTCCAGGTGAGGGAGGGGCTGGGGAAGAAGGAAGAAGAAAAGCCCAGAACTGACAAGAGAGTCTGCCTGGATCACCGAGGTGCACATGAGAGACGCTCAAACAATAAAGGACGTCAGTTGTATTCACCGAGGACATCAATTTATTATGAATTTTCACCTTTGCTGCCCACTCCATGTGGTTCTGGCCTGTGTCCAGACAAGCTGGTAGGAACAGCTGGTTTTAGCACCTGTTAGAAGGCTTCATGCTTCTTCTTATCCACTGCAGGAAGGACACGACCTTAGTGAAGATTCCTGGAGCGATGGTCTTGTTTTTCACATAGGCTAAAACTCCATAAGCTCTGTTGTCACATACGAGAGGTCCTCCAGAGTCACCCTGTGGGCAGGGAAAGGAAGAACTGAGTCTGGTTCCTTGACTCTGCCGTCTGTACTTCCTCCTCGGAAGGTTAACTGTTAGATCGGGTCCAGGACCGGTTTTCAAACTCCCTCAGGATCAGGGCTCCAGGGAGACCCGACTTTTCCTTCTAGCTCAGTCCAAGGCTCTCCCTGAAGTCCTCAGGGATGCTCTGATAATTTATGCTGCTTTGGGAAGGTAGATGTTTCCCACCTTCCATACTTTCTAACCCACAGAGGGACTCAAAGCTGCACTTTTGGGATGTCTCTGCTCTGATCTGGGGCTTGAGGGTTTGGCCATTCTCACACCCAGGCCTCCCCCACGTTCCTTTCTCCCTGCATTTTGTCTGTTAAATGCTTGATCCCCACCTTGAAAGCAGCCTGTATTTCCTTTGGGTCTCCAGCACAAATCTGAATGGTCTTGATATAGCGGTGGAAGCGGAGTTTGCATTTCTGGTCATCCTGGATGATCAATACAGCCTCTTGTCTCGATGTTGTGGGCTCCCAGAGTGACTGTCATTGAGCTGTAGAGAGCAGAGTGGAGATGAGAGATGTGGAGTGAGAGAGGACACAGTCCAGGAGGTGTAAGAGGCAGGGAGGGCAGGGATGGGCTCTAGCTGAGGGGACTTGAGGAGACAGGAGGACCTCAGGGTTTGACCTGCTGCTCTGCTTCTCAAGAACTTTAGAGTCCTGGAGGCTCCCTCTTGCTTCTAGGAAATATTCCAAAGTTTGCACTGACTCACAATGTGTCCTTTCAACCTCAGCCACTGCTTTAGTCTGGCCAGTGGAGCTACTTTCAACTCAAGTGTGCTGCTAGCTCTGACTTCTCACCCTTTGACCTCAGTGTCTTTGTTTTCAGACATCTATTTGCACAGTCCTACCCTCTAGTGTGCTCTCAGGAGCATCCACAAGTAGAGGATGGAAACACCTGTTGGGGTCTCAGAAAACACGGGCTAGCTGCTTCTCCTCACCTTCCTAGGCAGTGAGCAGCTGTCAGCACGAAATTGTCTTTCACCAGGAACCCTCCACAGAGCATCATCTTACCATCATCCAGAAATGTAACATAAGCCATGTAGGGGCGGGAGTGGGGTTTGACCTCATGGCCCCCGATGATCTCCTCTGAAAGAAAAGGCTAGAATATGGGTGCCTGCGAGCAGCAGGTGAGGTCAGGAGGGAATATCCAGGGAGAGGGTGAAGACTATGGGATCTGCAGTTCCCTAAGCCTGTGGTGAACATAATTCCTTATACATAGAATAATCTTTGCTGAATCTTAAGCCTAGAGCCCTATTCTGAGAAGGGGTGGGTGGCACTTGTCCTCCAGCCCCTCCTTTATGAACATGTGCACGGACCAGCTCTATCTTCTTGATGATAGAGGTCAAGAGGATCCTGGTAGGCTCGCCTATGTTCTTTTTGTTAGTGAGTCTCCCAATCCCGCTCATGTCTTGGTTGTTATTTTCTCAACTGCAGAGGGGGATTTTCTAAAATTCTCCTATTCTGGTGCCCAACACATCTTGTGTTCTTAGTAAATGCTTTTGGCTGCATGGATGAATGACTTCTACTTAGCTGGAGGCCTGGTGGTTCAGAGCTCATGGGATTCAGAGCCTAGGGGACATTGGAGTAGTGTGCTGGCAAAGATGGGAATAGCTGGTGACCTGCAGGAAGAAGTGGAGAGGCCAACCAAAACAAGACTGCAAAGCTAGTGGAGTGTGCAATGCAGGCATCTGTCCCCCTGGGCCTCCTTCTTTAGCTGGCTGAGTGTGGAGGTTACTGAATGATGCTAATATTCTTTCCTTCCTTCCTTCCTTCCTTCCTTCCTTCCTTCCTTCCTTCCTTCCTTCCTTCCTTCCTTTCCTTTTCTCTCTTTCTTTCTGCCTTTCTTTTTTTTTTTTTTTTCCTGAGACAGGGTTTCTTTGTGTAGTTTGGTTCCTGTCCTGGATCTCACTCTGTAGACCATGCTGGCCTCAAACTCACAGAGATCCGCCTGGCTGTGCCTCCTGGGTGCTGGGATTAAAGGCGTGCGCCACTGCTGCTGGGCTTTGATGCTAATATTCTTGAGCTGGTGGCCTTACCTTACCCCACTGCAGGCTGGTCATTAAAGCTGCCCTTGCCCTGGGCTCAAGTAAGTTTAATGATGTACTTTTTAATTTTCTTTGCATTCTCTGCTACTTCTCTTTTTAGGGATTATCATCTCTCCCTAGGGAAAAGCTAATGCGCACTATGTCTTCTGAGGACACCTCCCTTCTTCAGACCCTGTTGAAAATCTAGCCAGTGACAGATTTCCAGGTCTGGGTTTGGTATGAAACCTGAGATTCAGAAACCTCCTGGTTAGGTGCAGGTCAGTTCCTGACTAGAGCTGGGCAGAGCATCTGCCAATGTATTATGGGATGGCATCTCTGGGACAGGGGTGTTCACTCATCTGCACCAGCTCCAAGTGGCAGAAACAAGGTCAGGAGAATCAGGACTGGTGGCATCTTCCAGGAAGGCTGCTTGGGTTGGAGGAGGGCAGAGTAGACACAGTCCTTGAAGGGATGAAGGAGGTCAGTGCTCAGTGACCTCACAGGCATTCTAAACATGTGCATCTCTGTGCTAATTGGCTTTATTAGTTAAGGATGTTTTCTGATTTGGGTAAAATGACACTGTTACCGCATTGACATCTTATGAGCTAAGCTGAGAGAATGACCAAGAATGTAGAGGGTAAAGAGGCTGTGGTTCAAAGATACCCACACAACAGACTGCCAGCAATGGTCGAGAGACAGCCCTAACTGACCTACTCTGGTGATGGGATGGCCAAACACCCTAATTGATGTGCTAGAAACCTCATCCAACTACTGAGGGATCTGGATGCAGAGATCCATGACAAGGCCCTGGGTGGATCTCTGGGAGTCCAATTAGCGAGAATGAGGAGGGTTTATATGAGCGAGAATTGTTGAGACCAAGGTTGGATAAAGCACAGGGACAAATAGCCAAATGAATGGAAACACATGAACTATGAACCAATGGCTGAGGGGTCCCCACTGGATCAGGCCCTCCGAATGGGTGAGACAGTTGATTGGCTTGATCTGCTTGGGAGGCATCCAGGCAGTGGGACCAGATCTTGTGCTCATTGCATGAGTTGGCTGTTTGAAACCTGGGGCCTATGCAGGATTGTTTGGCTCGGCCTGGGAGGAGGGGACTAGACCTACCTGGACTGAGTCTACCAGGTTGACCTCAGTCTGTGGCTGTGGAGAAGGCTTTGCCCTGGAGTAGATGGGAATGGGGGGGGGGGTTAGGGGGAAGGTGAGGGGGATGGGAGGGGGGAGAACAAGGGAATCCGTGGCTGATATGTAGAACTGAATTGTATTGCAAAATAAATTAAAATTAAAAAAAAAAAAGAGGCTGTGGTTGAGGATGGCCTGATACTCCAGGAAGTCCACAGTGAATGCACTGAGCTAAAATTGTGTCTTTTCTTATGTCTTACATCCTTTGTATTCTGTTAAAATCTCTCTTAATTTCTTTGTTTTTTTCTCTCATTCTTTCTTTTATTTTTCTTATGTATTCACTTTGCATGACATTGGAACATGCAGTCATCTACAGAGTTCATGCTCAAGAGTCACACAATATAGCTACACACAACACACACACACACACACACACACACACACACACACACACACACACACACACACAAAATCACACACAGAAAAAGATCTCATAATGTTTTCAGTGAAATTTTGATTTTATGTTGGATCATATATATGTACCAATTCAGGGCCACATGCAGCCCACCATCTGACCAGGTTATATACCCTGACCTAGTCTATAAAAAACAGTTGGCTTCTCTCATTTACATCTTTAAAAAACTTTTAATTGAAAATAAAATATTTTTTCATAAAACATATTCTCATCATGGTTTTCCCTCCCAATCTCCTCCCCAATCCACCCACTTCCCCACCCATGAACTTTATCATTAAGAAAACATTGTAAATAAATAAAAAAACCACATCAAAATTAACCAGACCCGAAGTTGATACTACTCAATGAACTTCCATGCAGTTAGAATTGGTATTCAGAATGGAAGTTGTGAAGCTTCACATTCAATTTTACACTTTTAGTAGAAAATACATTTTATGGGCTTATCCAGGCACCACCAAGACAAAAAAAATCCATGACAGAATTAGAACTCAAAAAATTGTTTAATATACTTTCATAACTCATTTCAGTCACCTGTGCTCATGTTTCCTCAGTCCCTTTTATTTTACCTCTCTTGTTCTCTTCCTTCACATTATACTGTAGTCATGTGTGCATTTGCTAACATATATGCTATATTATTTGCTATATTCTATACATGAGGAAGAACACGAGGTTTCTTTCTCTCTGAAATTTCAGGATATTACAAAAGGAAATCACAGATGATGCCAGAAGCTGGAAAAATATTTCATGTTCCTACATAGATAGAACCAAAATTGTTTTAAAAAATCTATACTACCAAAATTAATATATAGAATTAATGCAATGTGTAGCAAAATTTCCATGTCACATTTGAAAAGAATTTATATGGGACCACAATGGACACCAAATACCAAAGCAGTCCTAAGGAATAAAAACACTGTTAGAGTTGTGCCAACACCCAATCTTAAATTATTCTGTGGAGTCATGGTTATAGAGATAGTCTGGTGCTGATGCAACAATAGTCAGGAAGAGCAATGGATAGAACAGAGGTGCTGGCTTAAAGTGGCAAAGCAATGCCCACTTAATTTGACAGGGAGGCATAAAAAATAATAACAAAAATCTTGGGAGAAAAGATTCAATAAATGGTGCCTCAAAAACTGGTGGAGGAATCTACCAAAAATCTACCTGCAGAGGTACAAAAATCATTTCAAAATGGATCAAAGGCCTTAGTTTAAAAACAGAAAAGGAATGTTTAGAAGAAAACACAGGGAAAACCCTTCAAGATATTGAGACAATCTAGAACTTTTTAAACAGAACACCAAAGGCAGAAGAGCTAAACCCAAGTATCAACAGGTGATACTCCATGAAGATAAAGTTTCTGTACAGCAAAGGAAACAATAATGGCTGTCCCCTGACAGGAAGACCAAGGATGCCATTGATGTCTCAGCAGTCCTGATCCAGTGCTGGAGTTCTGGAGGATTCTTAGAGAGCTCTGGTCTCATCTGCGATGGAATCCTGAAAAAGTAGGTTCTATAACCAAAGAAGGAATGTCAGCAACAAGGTGGATGTAGTTTCCAGAAAAAGTGATGGCAAGCTGGCAAAAAGAAAAACCTTCCTTCTTCCATGTCCTTTTATGTGGGCTGCCATAAGAAGGTGAGGTCCAGATTTAGGATGGATCTCCCAACTCAAATGATCTAATCAAGAAAATCCCTCAGAAGTCTGCCCAACTGCTTGGGTTTCAGTTCCTTCCAAATGCAGTGAAGTTGACAACCAAGATCAGCCATCACAGGCTATTATGCAAAATATGCAAAGAATTTCAGAAATTAAACTCCAAAGAAATAAAACTGAAAATCAACAAATGGGTAAGAGAATGGCCAAAACCAAATATAAAACAACAACAATAACCAAAAAAAACCCCAAAAGAAAGAAATATCTAATAATTATTTTTCAAAGTGTCCAATATCCATCCCTGATTTCGAGATGTACTATGGAGCAACAGTAACAAAAGCCATATGATATTGATATAAATACAGACAGGTTGATTAATGGAATTGAATCAAAGACCCAGACATAAATCTGCACACATATGGATACCTGATTTTTTTTAATAAAGAAGCCAGATATACACAATGAGGAAAAAAAGCATCTTCAACAAATGGTGCTGGTCTAACTGGTTGTCTGCACATAGAAGAATGCAAATAGATCCATAATTATCACTCTGCACAAAACTCAAGTCCAAATAGATAAAAATCTAAACATAAAACCAGATATGTGGAACCTGATAGATGAGAAGGTGAGGAACAGCCTTGAAAGCATTGGCACAGGAAACAACTTCCTGAACAGCATACTGATATCACAGGCACGAAGATCTACAAGTAATAAATGGGACCTCATAAAACTACAAAGCTTCTGTAAGGCAAAGGGTACCATCAACAGGATAGAGCTGCAGCCTATAGAACAGGAAAAGATTTTCAACAACTCCAAATAATATTCAAAATATGTAAAATATGGAATGACTCATCCCTAACAGGCCTGAGGGGCAGCTGTCCCAAACCAGTAATATGATACTTTCTGAGAGCCAACATGGGTCTGCCTAAGGGCCTTAGCAACAGCAGCTGAGACATCATCTGGAGATGACCTAGTCCAATGAGAGTCAGCCATTTCACACCAGCAGATGAACAGTTATCAGATCTTCCCCTGGGGTGGGTTGGAGGGTATATAAGACTTGCCTCTTCCTGAATAAACTGAGTTTGTTGTTTCAACATTCTTCCAGAGCCTGTGTCGTTGACTCTGCACCTACTTGGCCTCCTCCCCCAAAGGGAACAGCACAGGACTCTGGCACAGTTAAGAACTCAAGAAGATACACTTCAAAAAACCAAAGAATTCAAATTAAAAATGGGGTATAGATCTAAACAGAGAATTCTCAATAGAAGAATCTTAAATGGCCAAGAAATACATAAAGAAATGGTCAACACCCTTAGCCATCAGGAAAATGCAAACCAAAACTGCTTTGAGATTCCATCTTACACCTCTCAGAATGGCTAAGATCAATAACACAAGTGACAGCTCATGCTGGCTAGGATGTGGAGCAAGGGGAACACCCTCCATTGCTGATGGGAGTGCAAACTTGTGCAACCTCTGTGGAAATCAATATGGCAATCCCTCAGAAAGTTGGGAATTGATCTAACTCAAGACCCAGCTATATTACTCTTGGGCATATACCCAAAGGATGCTCCATCCTACCACAAGGACATTTGCTCAACTGTTCATAGCAGCTTTATTGGTAATAACCAGAAACTGGAACAATCTAGATGTGCATCATGGATGGACAATGGAAAAGAAAATGTGGTACATTTACACAATGGAGTATTACTCAGCTGTTAAAAAATGACATCATGAAATTTGCTGGCAAATGGATAGAACTAGAAAAAAATCATCCTGAATGAGGTAACCCTGACCCAGAAAGACAAACATGGTATATACTCACTTATAAGTGGACACTAGTTATTAACTATAGGATAACCATGCTATCTATAATCCAGAGACCCAGAGAGGCCAAGTAACAAGAAGGGTTCAAGGAGGGACACATTTATCTCCTTGGGAAGGGGAAATAGGATAGATTTTGCAGGTGGACTGTAGGTAGCTGGGGATGAGAACAGGAGGGATCAGATGGGACAGAGAAGAATGGTGGGAGAGGGTACTCAGAGAGGTGACTGGAATTTGGGCATATTTGGAGGTGGTGTGGGAACATGGTGCCATAGAAACTTCCTGCAATCTAAGAGGGTGACCCTAGGGAAGATGCCTAGCAATGAGAGATTCAGAA